AGGCACCCTACTCTATTTCCAAGAATCACGGCGGCTATTCTTGTGCGCATCACGATGAGGCCTGCTTTTGAACACGTCCGCCGTGCAGCAAGAAGGCACCTGCCTTCTCGCGTGGATCGGCCTTCGTGTAGTTATATAGGCACGACTCATCGCTCAAGTATTTCACTACCTGCGTCCATGAAACAGAGAGATCTTCCTGTCGATGCGCTACGTAAGCAATTGATAGTAATATCAATTGCATCGCAATAATGTTAGATAATCTATCGAACAATTTATGAAATTTTTCAGTTAATTACGCTACGGTTAGAGTAATCGCATGGTTATAGCTACTTTACATGCTATTTTTTGCATTTTTTTATCCATCTATTCCTCCATGTCTTATCTTTCGCATTATAACAAACAAATGAAAGTATTCGCTGAGAATAATATCGGTGACAAGTATCATAAGGAAAACATCGAGGCAGCAGCAGCAGCAGACCGGCAGTCGCCTAGTGCGGCTGGCACGGCTCGTCGGATTTGTCCTTGGGGCCGAAGGTAGGCGCAGCACGAAGACAGAGGACGTGGCAACATAGCAGGCGCCCCCTCTTTTGTCCGCCGGCCGGTCTTGCCAGACAGGGTGTCGCCAGCTCGGTCGGCCTGGTCGTCCGGGTTAGCGCGGGGGACGAGGAAAGGGAGAGAGCTTGACGGAGAAGGAAGAAGGGAGAGTTTACGTATATGTATATGCGTCTGTGTGCAATAGAGCAGGCACTAAGAGGGAAGAGACGTGCCATAGGGGGAATCGTTCGAGCGGTGGACATAGGAGAGACGAGACGAGAGGGACGAATGCAGCTCGCAGCTCGTATAGCCCATAGAGAGATCGTTGTGTGCGTATTATAGGATCGGTCATGGACCTACATTCACGCAGGCCAGGCATGTTTGAAAACTCGCGTTCTTCTGGAATGTGGCTTGCGGAGCCCCCTTCGGCAACCTCCCTCTTTTCTCCTCACACTGCCGGCCCTGCAAATCTCTCCTCGACGCGGTGGACGTTGCTCGGACGCCTACCTACGCCCTCTCCTTGCTCCGCCGTCCTTCCACCTTCCACGATTCCCCGTTTACCCGTCGCATCGGCCGCGGCCACCAGCTTGGCGCCCCAAATAGTCGCGTAACCAAAGACGCGCCTCTGGCCTGGCTTGGTCGCGCCAGACTTCTCGGCGCCCAAATGATGTACGTTGACCATTTCTGTCTCTCTTCTTCCCTCGCGCTCGCTCACGCGCGGCGTGTTATAGCCTTCGCTTTCCGCGATCTCCTTCCACGTACTTATGCACAGGCACGGCCGATGGGAAGGAGATTCTATAGAAATAATAAAGAACAACGAGAAAAAAAAGATAGATAGGTCAAGTCTCTATTTACCAGTGTTCCACATGATATTTTGCCTTCGACCCAATCCTCGTGTGGTCATTACGTATCTAAGTCGAACAACAAGAATTAATGGAATATATATAAATGCGCAATAAATATAAAAAAAGAAACAAGATAAACGTTTGCAATTCGCAGCGAAAATCACATTCGTTTGATTTACATAGATGAAAGGATCAAGCCCGTTACGTTGGCAAAAACGAGACTGACGGTCGCCTACAAACGCTCAGCATCGTGTGGGCGATAGATCAAATCTGATCTCGGAATCGTGTTAAGTTTTGGTGGCAAGTTGGCCGTCGTTCAAAAATTCGCGTTATTCTATCCTTGTATGTTTCGCGCTGTTGATCGCTGTTGCCAGAACTTGTTTCGCGCATTTAAACATACATTATTCCCCACGTCAAATTCTACTTGTAATATACATGTTATTAATTCCTCCTGTTTCGCAATCTTTCAGTTATCCGTTATTATTTGTCGACGTTACGTATAGGTACAGGTGGCGAAGCAGGCTGTCGCTGCGTTTCTGATTCAACGATATCTGGCATTCTATTGCGTTTTCGTCATACACACAAGGTTTCCGCGTATTACGCTTTGTATTTATAGTTTTTGCGAATATTTGCGTTTTAAATTGGCATCGCGCTTATAATTCCCAGAGTACAGTCGCTCAATAACAGCGGATTGGCCGTGGAAAGAATTCGTGAACTATGACACGTTGCGAACGTAAGAGTGCGATAAGCGATCATGGCCATTGGAGAACAACTGTATATATGCGCACACTCATCTTTTATCCAGAATAAAGAGCGGCCATTCGGTGAATTCGTAGTCGTACTGTTTATAAGCTAAACTTATTTATGTGCATACTAACTGGCAGAGCGATACGTATACACATACGTCGTACACACACACACACACACACACATGCAGTCGCGTTAATGCATGCGTGCACACATGCGGCGTGTATTACGTGTTGTATATGCGTGTATAGCGTCGAATCTAATCATATAGCAGGGACGGATCGACTAAATATTTGTACATTTTTTTCAACCAAATTAGACAGTTTATGTTCTGGTAATCCCAAATGGAGAGAACATTTTAGAACATAAATGTTAATAAGGATCTAACAGCCATAATAATAATGGTTATTTGCCAATTCTTTCGCTGTTTGAACGAATTGTTAAAACAATTAACAATTCGCAAGGTTTTATAATCTACATTATATTTTCGCAACCATAAAAATATGTACTTATATTGGTTTATAATAATAAATGACCGCTTTCCAAGCTGAGAAGCATCGGACAGGTACAATTTTCAATTCACAGACTAAAAGACGTCGTAAAGACGTCTTTAAGATGTTTAGACACGTATGTCTAAAAGTTACCTTAAAAATGTCTTTATGACGTTTTTTAGACATGCATGTTGTTTATCCAATTCATAAAATTACTGGATTACTGCACTAGCGTCCCTGATTATGCAACGCGTATAGATTAAATGTTGCGCGTTCGGTCGGGTTGTTGCATGTGCCATGCCAACGTGTAGAAATACACCTTCGTCCGTAGGCGGTCGTGCGATGGCGCCTACTCGCGCGCATACCTACCTACCTGTAGCCCCCGAACGGGCTAACCTCGCACTCCTCGCTCCTCGCAGGCGGAGCCGCTCTCCGCAACGGCCGCACGAAACTCTCGTTTCACCGAGATTCATCCGTCCGTGCGTCACGAAAGAGATACCGCCCGTCTCTCGACGCGTATCCGCTCCGCTCGTGTCGTGCGCAGCCGGTAGCCGCTGCCGCTGCCGCAAAAGCGGACACACGAGAAGCGAACGAGTGAATCTCAGCGGACAGACGGATGGACGGATCGGTCGATGCGACCGCGGAAGAAATTCCGCACAAACGGTGTGAAGAAAAAACCTTATCACGCGAGTGGGCAGTGGGCATTCGACATGACACACGTACGCACACACGAGAGAGCGGTGCAACATCGAGCCGTCGATGATCGGTATTTACGACGAGTCCGATACACGGACGCACGGCATGCACGCACACGCACTAACCTTTATCTTATCATTGGCGAAGGCGGATCGAGGTTGACTGGGTTGTTTGCTATAGTATCAAGACTCGACGATTCAATGCGCATTGACTAACGCTCTCGCTTTCTCTCTCTCTCTCTCTCTCTCTCTTTCTGATCTTCCTACCAAGAAGGCAAGAAAGTAGAAAATTCCACGAGGGTGAAACATACCCCCACAATTTCGACCGCGAACGATTCACGACGCGATTGCGCGAAACGCGCCTGCATCACCTGTATACCTGCATGCGCTGCATATCCCTTCGGACAGCGATTTACTTTATCGGCTGAACAATTAAAAAAAATGATACACGCGGTAAAAAGATGCTGTTTTATCCGTGGGACACGTTATCGATGCATGTCTCTGAAACAAATCGGCCGATCGATACTCTTGCGCCTTGCGCAGAAATAGCCGTCTAATGTATTAAAGGGTTTCTAAAATCTACGAAGGATTTTAAAAAACCCTTCAAAGCCCTTTATTCATATGAAAAAAGTGACGAAATAAATCTGACGAGTATATATAATTAAATAACAAACTAAATAAATAAACTAAATTACACTAATTTTATTTAATTCTGATAAAGTGTTTAAAAGAAAATAAGCTCAAAACAACGATGAAATCAGAAATTTGAAAAAAACCACCTTTCGAGGATTTTTGTGTAACATTCATAGCGTTTATTTTAGTATAAAAAAAACAAAATTAGTAGCTATAGTTATACAGGGTGTTCCACACCCTGTATGTGTGTGTGTGTGTGTGTGTGTGTGTGTGTGTGTGTGTGTGTGCGCGCGCGCGCGCGCGTGTGTGTGTGCATACACTGAAAGAAAAGTATTTGGTATTTACAATTATAATTGCTCAGTAAAATAATTATAATTGAGGTTCTAATTCTTATTATGATTATTTTGCTATAATCTATAATATTAGTAAAAATAACCCCCTATATATGCATAGATCCATCAATTATAGTACAATCTTTCCTATATTTACTATACATAAACCACAGGTTATAGTAGTGTATAAAACCACCCACAGTACGCATGTTTAAAATAAGACATCGTAATGGCCGTCCTTAAAATGTCTTTTAGACAAAAGATGTCTTAAAGATGCTTTTATGACGTCTCTTAGCATGCGTGCTGTCTGAGCATGTTCATATACATGCATGGGACCGTATTCTCGAGCCTGCCCTAATGATTTTCGTATGCAACTTTCTATTTGAAAAGCATTGAATTTCGCATGCGAGTTTCATGAAAACGATTCGAGAATAGGGCCCATGGTTGAATAAATGCATATGTTAAAGCTATATGTAGCTAATGCATATGTAGCTATATGTAACAATAATGTAGTACTGAGTCAGTTATAATTGGCATTGTTAAAATAACTATAAAAATGTAGTTAATGGTAGCACCGAAAATAACTAAAAATAACTAAAATTGTGGTATCTGCAATTATTTTTTCTCTCAGTATATATATATATATATATATATATATGTTTGTATGAACTTTTTTGCTTGTTTTTGGGTCCCGAATCACCTCCCGAAGTGGAGTAAGCGATTTTTCGGACACCTTGTATATATATACATGTATGTATACATTATAGTATATATATTGATGCGCTTTTTGATTCTGCGGTTTAATCGTCGCTGCGTTGGACTTTTAATTTAAAAAAAATGAAGATACATCTTGTTTTTATATATAAATTTTTAAAAATATAACTTATTTGGCCTTTCTTATTTGGTCATTACAAAAGATTTTAATCCTCTTGACAAAATAGATTGAGAACCTCTAGTCTAACGTTACAAGAGTCTGGACAAGATACGTGAACAGAAAGAATGTAACAACTTTATAATTGTGAAATACGTATTGGCAAAATATAAACGTTAACTCGTGAAACTGTAATTCTTGAGTGTACGAACAAGTAGAGTGTAAGAACAAGTAATTCTTTTTGTGTTTACGTATTGAAATCTGTAATCATGTATGAAAGACGAACATTATCGAGTTTGGAAAAACGATTTATAAGGAGCTCGCGTTTCTCGATGCGTTATTTAAACAAACGTAGTTGCTCTACTTAAGTATGTCAAACGATATCGTTCTATAATTACTCATCGCAATAATAAACGTACACACACGTGCACCGTCGATATAAGGTTTCTATATTTGGATCGATTAGTCACTAGTTTGGCGTGATGGTTTCTTGGCGCTCGACCAGCCCCATGATTTATTTACATGGGAAAAGTTGTAAAATATCAGTTGATCGACAATCGGATTTATCTTCAATGCATTGAAGTCTGGAATGCGTGATCCTTGATATATTTTCTGTAGTTTCGAAGTTTTTGTAAATAACATTTAATTTACTCTTACGGTGTTTTTTTTTAAATAAGAAAACGCGTCTTTATTTTTTATTCGCCAGAAGTTGACCCTGCGGGCACACTATCACTCTCGGCAAACAGCTGCAAATAAATATGGTCACAAAAAAAGAAAGAAGGATTCTGTCAAAACTGATCTGAGTTTAATTACTGAAACATTCGCGTATATAAATAGGGTACAAATATATGTGATTGATGTGTATTGATGGGTATGTGTGTTCATTTCTGAATGTCTACTGCACAGTCCGACTTAATAATATATATATAAATATATACATTTTGTAAATTGTTTTGTATACCATAAGGAGTCACACTCGTAAGCATTTCTAAATAAATAACCGTTTTAATGCAATATAAATCTAATAAAAATTTCAATAATTCTAATAAGAATGTGTAATTTACTACGATTCTTTCTCATTAAAATGTATTCTGTGAATTTAAAGAATTTTTCATGAAATTCAATTATTAATGGAGCTATCTTTCTTAATCCTCTCCTGTCGTCCCTTTGATTTAAAAAAATGTTCACAATTTTGATTGTGACCCCTTTAAAGCAAGCACCTTAACCGGAAGTCTTAATTTACTCCACTCAATTCGGGCTGTTTATGAATTACGTAACGTTTCCAGAATAGGAAAAACCCGTAATACCAAATTGATATGTCGCCATATTTTAAACAAATGGATACGTATTTATCGTTTATTTTATAAATTAACAATTAACTGTAAAGAAATGAATTGTAAAATTTACTTTTACGGAGCGAACATTTTCGAATCGAATGGTCTTACGGACGTTAATGTGTTTCTCTCGTCTCAATATTTACGCCATATTATTAACAAAATATTTACATATTTATTTTTAAAACGGAAATAAGGATTTTATTTTCAAAATAGATACTTGCGTACTCATTCATTATGGCAGTGATTTGAAGAAATGAGAAGAGCGTTCAGCAAGATATTTATAAAGCGAGTTTACTAATTGAGTGGAGTTGATAAACTGGGAGAAAATATCATTGTCCTTATAGAACTATTCGGCAACTTATCTCACCGATAGTACATTGTACCTCGAGTATTTCTTGCTTTAACACTCTGAACGCACACGGCTAATATTTCGAGGGCCCTCGAGCTTCGGAAACACGCAGAAGACTATCTACACTTCCAGTAACCGAATGCCCGAGTGCTTCTCTTCTCTCATTAGTTCTAGTACCAGTACGAGTTTAACGAGTAGAGGTACTCTCGCTTGTAAGTCTCAAAAGAGCTTTAGCGGCTTCTCGCAAGCGGTTGGTACTTTAAGACATTTTCTCGGCTATCAATATCACCGTTATTTAGCTAATTGCAACACTAATTAATCGCTATATCAATACTCTTATTGGAAATAGAATTCTCGTGCACAAGAATAAAGTTAGTCGTAAAGTTCTTTCGTTCTTTTTTTTTCCGTAAAAGATACGAATCGCTTCGAAAAACCGCTAAATCCGAGAAAATATTTTCTCGGTCATTCCTTTTTTTTCCTTCCTTCGTCTATGCTTACATGCTTAATCGCTATCTTAACGCTATTTGTATCATTAAAAACGTTAGTGAAGCGTGAACCTTTAAATACCGCTAGTCTTGATGCGGGTTACAAATCGATCTCCGTTAACTAGAAACCAAAGCCGCATCAGTCGTTTCAAACAATGCCGAAAATTTCGCTTTCGAGCAACGCGAAAAATAAATTCGCCGCTCGCGTCCTGTTCTCCTTGCAACCCGATCAGAAGTAGCCACTAGAGGACACAGTTAGCTGTTTTCTAAGAATATTCTTAAATAAAATCTACTCATTGCATTTTCAAGGTGGTCTTTAGTCGCGAGTTAGCTCCGCGAAATATGTCGTGTGTGTACGTATGCGTGTGTCTGTATGTATGTATGTGTGCAGAGGAGAGTCGGTCGCCAACTTTTCAACAAACACCTTCAAAAGTCCGACATGCGCAAAACCATCATTCAAATTTCCATCACAGTCGCTGATGTAGCATTGTGCTTTCCTCATACGTAAAGATAAATCGCGTCAGCGAAATTCAGCCGCGACATTGCTATTTCAGCAGCGCTTTGACATGCACATTTCGGTGGCCAGAAATAAAAGTAGCTTGTCAAGTACACGCGTCCACACACGAAGTGGCTGTGTATATTAAAGCCTGGCAGAGTCATCTAATATATTTAGCGTTTAACGATAATGAAATATTGCACTGTTACAATTTACGCATTTTGTTATATAATCTGTCACCGTCTTAAAATACGTCACCTTCGTAAAAGTTACGATATTCATGAGCTGCTCCTTGCTAAATATTACCTCAGCTGAGAGAGGAGTCGAGTCATCCTCTTCGTTCGAGACCTCGAGTTCGCGTAGGCGTTTGCATTTCGGTATATAGTACAAGAGATCCGTATAATCTTCATCGCGTCAGTCAAAGTAATTTTTAATGTGTGTGTTTTATTCTCGCGTATTCGATCGATATCATTTAAATAATTCTTTCGAAAATGTTGGTCTATATTAATGAGCATCAGTATTACCGATAATATCACTATTCACTCGGACATTACATAATCGACTTCTATGATCGTCATCAATGATATGTCGCACAGAATACTAAATGCATTCTAGATGCGCATTATGATAACATGATCGTCTCTCGATTGAACGGTGATCTTTTATCTTCTTATGCGCTTTATCCGTTGTAAATATAATGAAAATGAACATACAATAGGAATGAGAGGACGAAATATGAATCCTTTGATAACTTACGATATGAGCATGCGTGTGTGTATGTACGTGTGAAAGTGTGTGTGAACTATCGCACTTTTCGCGTTTATTCCATTTACTTTTGCGAATGCGCTCTGCGAACGAATCCATGTCCTTTTAAGGCATCATTTTACGAGGTGTCAGCCATTTCTTCATGTAGTAACAGAAAATCGTGGAGATATAGATGAGCACCAGAAGAGCGCACGTCACCCCGAGCGCCAGCACCGAGGTTTTCGTTGGACACGGCTCCACGATGGTTATTGTTTTGTCTGGGAATAAAATAGTGTGTCTGGTTAATAAGAAGTTACACTTCAATCAAAGAGATAAGAGTCTTCCTGCGCGATCTTACCTGCTTCGTTAAAGTCTATGCTGGCATCGTTTTTCAGGAAGTCGGACTGCTTCTCGTCGCCAAAGTCGAGCACCAAGATCTCTTGAGACAGAGTCATATCTTCGGTTTTTTCCTCCGTCGAGTTCGCGATACTTCTTCTACGTCTCTTGCCCCACGACTCTACGGATTCACGTCCCCACTCGCAAACGGCCTAAAGTGAAAGAAATTGTTGGAGGTTTTCTTCCTCTATGATGCGAGACAAATAGGAAAACTAATTAACTAATTAAATAATTACCGGTTCGCAAGGTCCCAGACAGTATTTCACGTTACACTGGAAGATCACGCCGTAAGATTCGGTGAACCTAAAGGCCTCGTATACAGATTGCAGAGCGTTACCATCGGGAGTGAAGCTGGGGAAGATGGAAGGATCGACGGGACATCTGAAAATTGGAATATTAAAAATTTTGTAAGCTTTCTATTTTTTTACTGAGCATAATCGAGAAACAGAATAAAATTGACAGAATACCCTTCGTCGTCGATAATTTGAAACGTGCTTTTCGAGTCCTTTGCCATAGCTACGCAACTGCGAGCGAAAATGCCGTAAGGAGCTGCGTACGAAATATTAATATTAATTGTCGTGAATTGTTATTGTATCGTTGTTAAGATAATTGATTTTTTTTTAAAGAAAAAATGAACTTGCTGGAAGCGGACTTACTATCTTCCGGGATTTCGATTCTAAACGTCAATTTGTCACCAATGCGTACAGTTTCGACTTCTCGCGATCGGCTGTCGAGGATACGAATCCTCGGTGGAGGCGCTTCCGGCGCACTGGTGATACTGATCATTTCCGGATCTCTGATCGGCATCATGCCGAACGTGATATTCTTCGAGGACATATCGTACGTGCATTTAACTTTGTAGATTTTGTCGGCCTTCGTCATTACCACAGAATGATGTTGCAGTACGACCGTGTTCGAATATATTCCAGTCTGAAAACCGTCACGCTGCCATGGTGAAAAGAAAGTACAAACAGAGATTATGTACTCAAAGAGAGGGGGGTGTGCGTTAGTGTAAATTCTTTATAAAAAATATATAGATGTGGAAGAGATCCTTTTTTTTCCCAAGTTGCGTAATATACAACCGTGCAGTACGCAAGAATGCGGTGTTAGTCAATAAATGTGACAGATCGAAATGCAAGAATATTGGATACGTGATAAAGTGTTTCTCGGTAGTGCTAATTTTCTTATTTAATTATTTCTAAGCATGCATATTTCGAAGATACTAATAAAAAATATTATAATTGCAAAATTGTAACTTTTATCATATACAAAAAAATAAAATAATATCGAGAAATTATTATAACTGGAAAAAAACTTCCAAAGATGCAGTTACAATACTTTTCAATATTACTCTATCGTCATCTTATATATCACTTACCACGCTCTGAGTGTTACAATCCTGTCCGCTCATCGTAAGATCGAGTCTGAAGAGATCGCTATTAATAACGTCGATATTGCAAGTCTCAGATCGTCCGAGAGCGTAGATACGCCCGTTGAAAGGCTTGTTTGTACGAACTTGAACGGCAATACGAGTGTCCTTGCAGTCAACCGATACTGTAATATTAATTATTAAGATTAATACATAATTTATATTATTATACGGCATTATGGTATTATTAAGGTATTAATTCCGTACCGTCGTAGCAAGTTCCCGTCTTGTCGCAATTAATGTCGTTTCGGGTGAGATTGTTTATCGTAGAATCTTCCGTGGTCTCGAAAACGACCGGCAATGGGTCCGATATTGGCCCGGTACCCTCTAAAATAACCGTGTAACTAATATATCACGCATACACATTTAGGCTCTTTTATAGGCTGTATTCCGATATTCACCGTCAGCAATTTTCAGTACTGAAAATCTATAGTATACGTGATATAAAATATAGATTTGCAGTACTGACAGTGAATATCGGAATGCAGCCATAACCGACATCCCTTACTTTCGCAGAAATTCTCGAAATAGGTGCCGACTCGTTCTCCATTATCGATCAAGGGCCTCTCCGCATTAAGATACGTCGACGGTCCGTCCGGGAGAGTCCAGTGGTCCAAATGGAAGAGCTGACAATTATAAGCCGACCCCTGCGGCGCGCCGCGATAAAGGAAGGATCTGCAAAGGAACTCGTTCTCAATTTCGCAGGCTAATCTGCAAGCGGACTCGCTCTGAACCTGCAGCTCCTTATCGGTGTAATAGTGCAGGCCCGCGTATTGCGCAACCTTGTCGTCCGCCACGCCGATTCTGGGCATTTGGAAGATCCTTTGAGCCTTACAGGCCTCCTTTCCTGTCAGCGCCCGATTAAACACACAACTTTTATTTTCTTTCTACGTAAATATTTATAATTATTTTTCTAACGTTCAACTTCAAGACTGTTTTACCTTTCAGGCATAAGTTCTCGAAGTAATCTACTCCTTGCGCGTCCACGAATTGAACGTATTGACCTGTCGTTCGGCGATCTGAATCGCCCAGGTGACACTGGAGCGTCACGTAATTGTACTCCACGGAACGGCAGGTAAAGCGATGCTCGTTTAAGCAAGCCGCGAGACAAGCCTCCTTCGTGGATGTGTAAATTAATGCGTTGTCCAAGCCGCGAATCATCTTGTTCGGGATGCGCTCGAAAGCCCACGGTCGCAGACAAACGTTCTCTGAAATAATATATATCTATAGAGATAATTTTACTTCTCTTTTGCGTTATGTATGCATTCTCGTAACACTTATATGATACAATCTGCGCAGTCTGGCCGCAGATCTTACAAACGCGCTTGTACATTCATAGTTATATAAATGTTCTAATTGGTATTTATAATTTACGGTTTTCTGTGATAAATAGATAATATTCAAGTTAAAACCAGCGTTTTTCTTCAATTTTCTCCACAAAAGACGAAAACTAAAGGAAAAAAAAACTACATTCATGAAATCTCCGAATAAAAACCGGGAAAATCATGAGCCTAATCCTGGATTAATAATCCAAATAAATTTATAGTTTGCATTCGGGGACTAATACTAAGAATATACTAAGAAAAAATTTAAACCATTAACTAACGTTACTAAAGATAACGTTGCTAACGATTTGCTCTTTATTGCTTTCTTCCTTGAAATGATAAAAAGCTTATCAAGACTTCCGGAGTATATATCATCAACAAGAGGCGGGAACTGTCAAGAGCCCAGCACTAAAGATTCTGCGCAGAAAAATCATAAGATGCTGGCATGTGACTTGGCAACTTGGCATCTGATGTCGACGATGACGCACGTAGCTACGCTTTTTGGCTCGTAGGCCCGGAATGTATTTCGGCCCGTTCGACGTTCCAATTTCTTTTGTTCCGCCCTCAAAACCGGCGGCGCTAGCTGAGGAGCCGCCGATGGCGGAAGCGGTGCCAACGAACCGCTGCGACACGTGACTACTTTACGGATGAATCATCACCAGCAAATTCCTGACGCCACTGACAAATCGCTCGTTCTGAACGAAACTTCGTCAACTTAATAAGTCAACGATTATCTATTTTATTAATCGGTTATATGAAATATTTGCTGATATTCTACATGATATGTTACACCGTTCAACAAATTACTTTTTTTCGAGCACAAGAACGAGAATAATCATTTCTTATAGCTCTTTGGACGCTGAATACAATCTCGTTTGCCAAATTGCTATATCACGTCACAATTTTGAAAAATTTGCAGTTAAAATTGCAAAAAGGATTTTATTTTAGTGTATTTTGATATATTATAATACGATATTTTATAAAGAAGTGTTATTACAGTCAAAATTAAGTATGTTGTTAGGACTTTCCGCCCTAAAAAGAAATTTATTGTGTCGATTATGGTTAAAAAGATATTGATTATTAACATATAGCCTATTGCAATCAAAATTAAACATGTTGTTACTTTATGCCCTTAAAAGGATTTATTGTGTCACTTATGGTTAAAAAGATATTGATGATTAACATGTATAGAGTCTATTAGTCAAAATTGCGACTTACATAGACAATTTTAAGGATCTATAAAATATTTTTAAATTATGTTATTCAAACTTAAAGGTTTTCAGCTGAATATTAATCTAATGTCAAAGTTGACAAATTAAAAATGACGGAACCAATATGACGAATATCAAAAGTAAAAATTTGACCATTTTTAATTATATATCGTAGTTTTAATCTGCCAAATTTTACTTAAAAAAAACCTTTTTTGCAACTTTTTTAACTGAAAAAATCTCAGAATTGTGACATGATAAAACAATTTAGTAAACAGGAACATAATCAGCATTCAAAAAGCTAATTTCGTTCTTGTGCATTTTCTTTTGTTGAACAGTGTTATCTGATTTAAAGGATTGTCTTAAATAAAAAAATCAGAGAGTTACTTGAATTATAAAAGTTTCAGATTTATGTTGTGCGCCAATATCAGAGAAAACGCTCGGGGCTCGGCGTCAATATCAAGTCTATAATGAATTTATGGAACGTACTGGTATTACGCTCGGTTAGCTTTACAACTGTTTATGTAAAATTCTGCACAGTAATTGTAACCAACCGGTTTGCAACGATCAGTGAAACAAAGCTCGTTCTCTTTCGAAATTTTCATTCGTCCTCCTCGCAAGTCGAAGCAAGTAGCGAGCGAGTTTTATGACGAACAACTAAGCGCCTTACGACGCGGAACAACTCGCCAAGAAAATCGCCCTACTCGTTAAATAGACAGCACGCAATTTCTTCAAGTGCGGGAATTTTCCTCCGGAAATTCCCGCTCGGGGCCTGTTATTTTAACGGAAGATCCTCGTACGCTAAAATACTGAATAAAATCTGGCACTGTCGATATTTGAGGTGTTGAAGAATTTCACGAAAATATTGCTTGTTAAAAATATGCAGCTACGGAAGTTTATAGAAAAATATTGTAGAGAAATTGTACTATGTGTGACAGATTAATTAAACAAATAGGCCATTTTTCTTATTACAAATACCAATGCCTGCATATTTGCACAAACAGCTTTTTCCAAAAGAAATGACCGGAAATCTATTTCCTTTGGATATCATAAACGTTCAATGCGATTAAATTTCGTATGTCCACAAAAACTGATCATAATGAATTTCGCAAAAATAACAAGATTCTTTAAAATCCTTCCATACTCCAAATTGATGAAATACCTCCGTAAATAACGAATTCCGGCATACGCTAAACAGGCTTAAACTAATATTAGAGTTCTACTTTGAAACTTTCGGGAATCCTCAAGCCTCCTGCGATTCATGCAGGTATATAGCTTTTGTGATTCTTGCAGGTAGTTTGTGGCAGGTTTTCTGTTTAAATGCATTCGGCATAGTTCCATGGGTGCGCAGCATTACGAATATAAGAGGTCGATTCAACTAAAGATTTTTCTTGTCAGCATCCAAGGAGTACTATACTGAAACGTAAAAGTTATTTTGCGCGAAAACGAGGGTCGAAAAATTGACAAAGGACAAAACCGGCTACCTGACCACCTATGAGAAGCATTTTGTGCGCATTTTCCTTCGAAAAAAAAAATGTCAACATTAAAGTACCAAAATTTAGCTTAAATCTGATCCTAAAATATTTGCTTTTCTATAATAACTATTATAATAAATGCGATAATATTATGTTTTAAAGTAAAATTTACTTTAAAATGTGTCACTTCTAAAGATATGCGAACTATTCGAATTCAAATTTCTATGATTCAAATCCGAACTATTCGAAAATTTCAAATCTAGATGGATCGAATACGAATTATATATATTGTCAATTATATAAAATAACATTTTCCGTTAATAAGGAAAAGTAAGATCATGCTAATAGGCGCATTATTTTTAATTTTTGACATCGCTGTAATCCTATTAAGTTGTAAGTAAAAGTTTGAATATGCGTAAAAAATAATAAGCTATGAGTATTGACAACAATAAAATAAACTGTATTATTTACTATTTTATTTTAATTTATATTTAAATATGTAATTAAATAATGTTATTAGATAATACATTAGAGTATTATAATAATTTATCCATGACTTTTTGCCTAATTTTTTTAATTTGCCGCGACATTAAATAAAATATATTTTGTTAGTTTTATATTAAACAATTAAATATGTTTTTTGCTTTAAAAAGAATTTATATTATGTAAATCAATATTATTTTTCCACATTAAAATATTCTCCTATTAGCCACATGTTAATCTTCCGGCGGGTGCGCCCTGTACAAAATATTGCGTGGAATGAGATTGAAAATTTGAAAGAATAAGAGATATTATTGTAAAATAAATATTATGCGGTGAAAGTTTACAATATTTTAAAGCTTACTAGATGCTGAAGGAATAGCTCGGGAAGCCGCGACTCAAATTGGAAGTTTCCATGAATTCCCTTTCCCTCCAGAATCGCCGCGCGTGTACAAAATACCTATTACACACGCGCGCCTGACGGAAGGTTAAAAAATGCAATCTATAATAATAATAATTATACTGTTAACTGAAAATTATATTCCAACGATTTGATTCAAAATCATTCTATTCGCTTCGATTCGAGTGAAATTTTATCGATTTGATTCGATTCGACATAAAAATTCTTGATTCGCACATCTTTAGTTAGGGGAGAGTTGTCGAATGCGTACTGGTCGCCTAAATCGTACCTCATCATTATTTTATATTATTACTTAATATAAGCAACATAATAACAAAAACATGAAATAAATGAGAGAAATGAATAATATATCTATATAGGTAAAAATTTAACAGGTTACATCTTGTTTTGTGCGTGCTAACGACACGTTTTAAAAATTCAAGTACAACTGATGTTAATTTTTAATCAATTTATGTAACTGATAATAATAATAATGTAATCATGCAATTTTATTATAAATTTTTATATTTATATAAAAGGTGATTTATTGTAGAACATTTTACATTCTTCGTATGGATATATTTATTTGCAATTATTTAATATAAAGATTAAATCGATATTTTTATAAAATCTATCAAGTTTCCTATATTGTATTACCACAAAATTTCCTATATCATGCTGTATACACATCTCTAGGTTACATGAGTTTAGATAAATTTAGATAATTTTAGATAAATTTAGATAAATTTAGATTATGTTAACACGACAGTGACGTCCTTACCTTTTCGTTATTGTTATTTATTAATTATTAAGTACTTGATCTTTTTTTGATAAATTATTAATAAAATAGGTATCATGGTTAATGATTCTTTTTATTAATCTTATATTTTTAATTATTTTTATTCATAAATTCAATACTTTCAAGGAGGTGATTTAAAAGACCCACAGATACGATTTTAGGCAATTGGTTACAAAAAAAACAAAAAAATGTTACAAAAAAACTTATAACAAATTAATTTGTTATTGGTAAAAAGTTAAACATGTAATAACAGATGTCTGTGGAACCTCAAGCTACGATTTCCAACGTTTATTTGCGTACAAATCACTACCAAATGGGAAATATAATAAAAAATAACTTAAGTGGTACGCATTCGGCCACTTTCCCCTACTTCCCACAAAAGATATTCCTTCACTATCACTTTTACTTTAGTATACGTACTATACGTATATCGATATCTATCATGTTATATTATATTATTTTATTATATTATTATTATATTATTATATCATATTATTTATTCTCTTTTATTATGAAAATATCAATAAATAATTTTAAATTATTAAACGTAAAAGTAATTAAAAATTTTGTAATCTAATTGATTTTCACTGTTTTCGAATATATTACAAACAATATAATAATATTTCCTACATTAGATACGCCTGACTTAAACGTATCTTCATTTGTGAAGATACATGATGTTTATGCTTCCATCAAATTCCCTATGTTTTTAAGGGTCCCACAATGAAAAATATAAGGAACAAGGAACATATATTAGCGATTAGAATCAAAGAATCTGGAATAAAGCTAGTGTAGCATTGATACACGGGTTCCAATAGGTTAAAAATCTATTGCCTGTGTTTTTTATTGTGTATCTAGTTTTATTCCTGATACCTTAGTCCTAATCGCTAATATCTGTTCCTTATATTTTTCATTGTGCGGGGGCCTTAAGTCTTCTCACTAGTCGCACACTTAACAGTCGTATTGTTTGTCTGGGCAGACCCTTTTCTCTGTTCGATGAAATTCTGCCAGTTATAGCATTCGCTTTGTGAAAGCGGCTACATCTATACCGACTCGGCTTTGCCGAAAGCCTGCTCGCTTTGAGTTTTAAACTCAAGTTAGATTATCGTGTTTCACGGTCTATCCTTCGTGTTATTTTGCTATGCACATAAATATCGTAGCGCGGCCTTTTCCCATCGTAAAAATCTCAGTCTTGCGTAAAATATTTTTTCATTTGACATTTTTCTCTTTCCGTTTACCACGCTTTCATCCACCGCTTCCTGGGTACTGGACCACATTAAAGGGGCATTGACCTAAGCAGTGCGTTTCTTAATCTAGAAAACATTCAAGGTGCGAAACAAATTTAGGTTTTAAATGCACAGCGATGTGCCTGCGCTCTCTCTCTCTCTCTCTCTCTCTCTCTCTCTTTCTCACCGGATCTTATCTGCAGTTTCGTCATGTAGTACATATTGGCGGCCCTTTGGGGCTGCGCGGCCGGATTCGTGGCGGCCGTTTCGTTCTGCAGCTGGCAGAGAGTGTCCTGCATCGGCGCCAAGGGATTCACGACGAACGAGAACGCGGCGGCCTGACATTCCGCCTCCTCCCTGCACCATCCTTGGCACTCGTACAACGACAGATTCCTCACGCTGTAATAGGTAGTGCCGCGGTAATCGTAGTCGGTCAGCTTCTCGAACGCCGTCCTGGCTGAAACGTGGAAGCAATTTTGCCTCTACTGAGTGCCATCTTCCAGTAGTACGCCATTACACGACAGCAATCGGAAGGCTCTTTTAGAATTCTATTCAACAATTCCCACTAGAACCTGATGGCGAGAGAGCCTCGACTAATTTTAGAAAATACTTACCCAACGCGGCGTCGCCGCTCGCCAAAAGTGCCGTGAATATCAGGCTCGCGGCCGTGGCTGCTACCGCCGTCCCGATCGCAAACGAGCCCATCTGCAATGAGAATGAGGAAACCACGGTTACAGAAGCCGTAATTAGAACCAGCCTGACCGAGTATTGTTCCTCGAGCTGGCGCGGAACTAACTCGTACTTGGCGTCCCACGAGGAACAATTTTCGCGCGCGCCATACGTACGCCAAATAATATAATTTCAGTATAACGATACACGTGAATGCATATGAGAATGAAGCACATTGCAAAGCACGTCGCTTCTCTAACGAAGCAAATCGACACTAAAAATGCAAACGGTTGCGAATGGCGGAAGTTCCGCTTCCAAGCGATCGGATACACGCTAATCCGGCATAATTCTCAGACGGGGATTCTGATAGAAGGGTATGAGTTAATCACCCCCCGGTTACACGCCTCATCAGCGCGGAGAATCTGACATGATCGCCGCTCGCTGAACGAGTGTTTAACGCTCATAAAAGATTCCGAGAGAGGATGATTCCGCGATCGAGGAATCATCCTCTTCCGAGATCGAGGAAAACCGCGCGCGCAGTACATCATTCCGCCGAGAGTGTCTTCTCGCGATCCGCTCGCGCGCT